GTTAGAGATCAGCTAGGGGACATTTGCTTTTGCTCTGAGTGAGATGGGGTGTTCATGGAGAGGATTTGAGCAAAGAAATGATATTATGTGACTTAGATTTTCAAAGGTTCCTTCTGGTTGCCTAGATTAGAAGGACAGAGGAGAGGAAGGAGAAGAAGGAGGGTGATCAGCGAGGAGGTTACTGCAATGGTCCATGCAAGAGACTGTGGTGGATCAGGTAGGGGTTAATGGTGGTGTTGAGAGGCAGACGGACTCTGGGGATATTTTGAAGGTATAACGGATAGGATTTGCAGTTAGATTTAATGAGGTGAGAGAAAAACTGGAATGAAGGATAATTTCAAGGTTTTTGACTTGAAGAGCTGGAAGGAGGGAGTTTCTATTCACAGTGGGAGGGGATGGGAATAAGGGATTCATTCTGAGATGTATTAAGTGTGACGCACCAAATTGAGAAGCATTATTTAAGAAAATCTATCAAACTTCAGTAAGAACAGTGGGAGTCCATGGCATGTTAGCCTAGAGCTATTCCCCTCACCCACACCATTTCCAGCTCTAATCCTACCAGGGCAAGGCAGGCCCTGAGGACTGCAGCTCTGCTGATGACGGGGACTGACTTTATTGGAGAAGAGTGCACAAGATTCCATGCTTAGGTGTTAGGTAGGATAAGGGTCTCAAGGTCTGGGCAGTTCTAAATGTTGTTCTTGCTAAATGTTAAAATGTAGCACAGTATTTTGCAGACCAGCTGTAAACAGGATGAGCTTGACAGCAACCCAACCAGATAAATGTACCAACTACAAAGAAGAAATCAATGTGTAATTAACCAAATAGTGTATATAAGCAATGGCTAAGCCTGCCTGGGGAGACAGAGCTTTGGATATAAATGCCCCGTCTCCTTTACTAGCTGCAAGTAAATACACTACCTTGTGACAACCACATCTTGGTCTTAAAGAGTGCACCCAATGCAGGGGTGCTGTCAAAAACAATAGCATTCTCAGTGGCAAACAATCAGAGGCCACTGTCATGGCTAACTTAAGGTCTCCATGCTAATCGGGGCAAGCAACAGACGGCTAGACCAACTGGAAATTTAACAAGGGACAGCTGGGAAGTGCATCTTGACAAGATCCTACTTACTTCCGGTGGTCTGGAAGACTGTGCTCATGCCCAAGGCTGTGAGCACCTAGGACAGTGGGGCAAACAACAGACGGGTAGACCAACTGGAAATTTAACAAGGGACAGCTGGAAGTGCATCTTGACAAGATCCTACTTATTTCCGGTGGTCTGGAAGACTGTGCTCATGCCCAAGGCTGTGAGCACCTAGGACAGACCGGAGAGGACACAGCCGAACATGAGATCTTGTAAACATAGAATGTAAATTGTAAAAGATGGGTCCCCTTGGAGAACTGCCCGAACTCTGAATGCGATATCTCTGACTAATCACATGCTAACCCAGGGTGACCGCTAGGAAATCAGGCTTAAAATTAAAAACAGGAATAAAAAAAAACAATCAGCCCTGGCCAGTGTGTTAAGTGGTCACAGCATCGGCCTGCATATCAGAGGGTCATGGGTTCAATTCCTGGTCAAGGGCATGCACCTGGGTTGCAGGTTTGATCCCGGGCCCTGGTTGGGGTGCATGCAGGAGACAACCAATGTGTCCCTCTCCTTCCCTCCCTCCTTTCACTTTCCTAAAATCAATGGAAAAATATCCTCAGGTGAGGATTAACAAAAACAAAACAAAACAAAAAAACAATCAATCAAACAAAACCCCCTCAGAAGCGACCTGCCCAGTGTTCCTGGTGATGCAGGACCTGGTGGAGAAGCTGAAGCTGCTCGCTAGGAGGAGGAGCTCCTCCGGAGGAATATCCTGATGCTCCCGCGCAGACACTGTTTTGCACTGCCTACCGAGCCTGGCGAACGGTTCTACCTGTTTTGCACTTTGGCTGCTTGGCTGATTAACAAAGCAGGACACCCTTTGAGCAGCTTCAGGAATATGATGACCCCAGTGCAACCATATCTAACAGATTATCTGAACTTTGGTCATTTGGGAGAACTGCAGATTTTCCTTCTTCTAAATTAAAGTTGGGTTATGGAGAGCACGTATGCTATGTTCTCGACTGTTTAGTTGAAGAAGCATTAAAATATATATTGATTGGTTTCACTTGGGAAAAACCAACATGCGTGGAGGAGAGGGCCCTGGTCAGATCCAGCTTTTATATTTACCCCTGGGAACCGGGCTGGAATGCAGACCCCCACAGCATGACAGAGCTGAAGAATCCAGGGGTTCACCACTTCTCACATATTTCTGCCCCACTACCTCAGAGGGAAAGGAAGGTGAGCTCAGACCCCTGGTCCAGTGGACAGGTCATGTTTACCAGAGGGGTGTGTGGGTCCCCATTTGAGAAGCTCAGATGTGGATAAGAAATATCAAACCAAGGCCTAGAGCTCGATCTGGCTGGGGTCAGATTGACATCAGAACTCAGGATAAGGCTGGATGAGGGCTCGGCGTGGGATCAGAGCTCAGACCAGGAATCAGGGCTCAGCCTGTGTTCAGGGCTCAATCAGAGATCAGGATTAGAGCTCAGTCTTGGTTCCGGACGTAGCCTGAAGCCAGGATGAGGGCTCAGTCTGCAGTCAGGACTTAGTTTGAGGTTGGGATGAGAGCTTAGTCTGGGGTAAGAACTTAGTTTGAGATTGGGGTTGATCCTCAGGCCACCTCTCAATCAACATCCTGCACCCTAAACTACATCTCAGAGTTGGCTTTCTGGGAAGCTCAACCTGCAACAGCTGAGCTTGAAGAAGATGGGCAGTGGCGTTTGCTGGAAGAATGAGGATCTGGGGCCACCACCAGGGGAGACCATCTCAGTCTCCCTGCTGAAAGGATTGTCTTTTGGAACAAGAGTGGGAGGATCGCCTCCGTTTTCTTCAGCCCCCAGTGCCCCTTCTTACTGCTCAACCTTGAGGAAGTGGCTGCCTGCTCTGAGCCTCCAGCTGCCCCTCTCACAGAGGACCAGCATCCAAAACTAGGTTTGGAAAGGGGGTCTGAGAGCTGAGGCAGCGCAAGGGTCTGCATCCACTTATCTGGGTGCTCTGGGCTGTCCCCATGCTGTGTAGAATCATCAGAGAAATGCCTTCACTGAGGCCTTGGTCACAAGGATCATCCATCAAAGACTGTCCATGTATGCGCCTGACCCCCTTTTTGAAAAGACCCACTACGTAACTGTTCCCACTTGAGTTTGCATCAAGGAGGTGTCTCACTGTAGATGAGCCTGCTTTGTTGCTGTTGTTCATACTTAAATTATGTCAAACACACTCAAAAGAGTCAAGAGGCTTTGACTAGAAATAAAATAACAAAGATTTATTCAAGGGTCTTAGGGTTAGTAAACTGGAAACACAACTCAGAACATTCAGAATGTTCTGAAGGGGGAAAAAAAAGCTGAGGGTTCTTATAGTAAAAAGTACATTCTTGAGAAGAATCATCCCTCTATTCTTAGCCTATGGGTTGGTCTGAGATGGTAATCTTCAGATGTACAGTGACCTGGACAATGAAACAATTTCTTCTCAAAGTCACTCAGATAGCCAACCAGAGGGTATGATGTATAGCCAGGCATTGTTGTACAACGACCTGATGTGGGTCCAGGTATTCATGCAGGACTGGAAAGTTCAAAAGTTTAAGTTCCCAGGATCAGTTAAAAAAGAATAGAATTGCCCTAGCCGGTTTGGCTCAATGGATAGAGCGTCGGCCTTCGGACTGAAAGATTCTGGGTTTGATTCCCATCAAAGGCACATGCGCAGGTAGTGGGCTCAATCCCCAGTAGGGGGCATGCAGGAGGCAGCCGATCAATGATTCTCTCTTATTGTTGATGTTTCTATCTCTCTCTTCTTCTCCCTTTCTCTCTGAAATCAATAAAAATATATTTAAAAAAGAATAGAATTGTTTCCTCATGCTTCAGTCTACTTTATTTTAATAATTTAGTAGCTTGACTATTGTGACTCCAATTTATTCCTTCACTCTAGTCTTCAGTTATATGGTTAATTATCATTCCTTTGACTGTGTAGAACATTTTTTAGCTGATTTTCATGTCTGGTGTGGTTATCTTCAAAACCTGGAAGTCTTCACGCTGGTCCTCATCCCAGGGGTCTCTGTCCTGTTTGATGCTAAGAGTGTGATTGTGCATAGCTAAGCTGCTTGGGGATGTTCTGCAAAGTCAACACTCTCCTGGTTCCAAAGAAGTAAATCAACACTGGGCTGGTTGCATGAGATCATTTATGACCATAACTAGATCAGATTTGGGGCTGAATACCCAAATGTAACCCAGTCTTCATGGCTCCTTTTCTATCTTCAGCTTCTTCTAGGCAGAAGTAACCCTTCAGATTCTGGGCCTGGGTCTTCATTGAGAGAAAGTCTCCCATCCCTTCAAATCTAATGCTCTTTAGGAACATGACTTTGGGGTAAAACTTAGAGGGTGTAAATGGCAAGCACAAGTCTGTGGTCAAGGCTCCTCACTCTATGTAAAATGGGGGTGTTAAGAAACGTTTAGGTTTCAGCTTAAAAACTTTTGGGTTCTTTGTAAGAGCCAGGAGAAGAGTTTTGGGTCTGGTTGTGGTCAGAGCATTGAAGAGCTAAGAGAGAAGCAACGAGAACCAGGAGTCAGCCAAGGTGACTGTGATCTGCCTGCCAGGAGGTGGCAGTGCCAGGTGGGTTGGGGTTACTTTGATGCTTGATCTGTCAGCCTCCAGCAACCAGGGTGATGAGATGAAGATGGTAAAGGCTCCCTACATAATCCACCATTGTCCAAAAGTATAAGGATTACTGAGTCTACGACCTCATTTTACAGACAGGAAACCAAGGTCCAAGAGGGGAAGGGACTTGCCCAAGTTCACAGAGTGGGGCAGAAACTGAAGCAGGACTTGAACCCAGGGCTCCTGGCTTCCACATGGCAGAGACAAAAAGGTGGATGGAAGAGGAACGGGAGCCATCTCCTCCGCTCTCATCCCCTTGTGGCCCATCACTTGGCTGTGGCCACGTGGATGATAACAAAGCCCTTGATGTCTGAGAATTGGGGGCTGACAAAGTCCACCTGCAGCTGCCTTAGGCCACTCTTGGAGGGGGTGATGTTGAACTGGACCAAGGCCCTCTCCTGGGGCTCCAGGCTGGGTACACTGGGGAAAGGGAAAAGGAGAAAAGCAGACCATCAGCCCTCTCCCATTCCTGAGCTGGCCTGCCAGTCCGTGGCTCTCTAGAAACCTCAAGATCAAGGTCACACTAGCAGCGTCTCTATAGCCCATCTTATAAGAAAGGCAGCCCTCCCCCCACACTTCCACCCTCCCCAGAGTGGCACTTACTCGATGCTGAGCTGTCCCTGGAGAAGGCCACTGCCCTCCACCATCAGCATACCGTCTTCTACTTTCTCCAAGAGGGGGTTGACCACCATCACTTCCACTACAACTGCTACCCCCACCATGGCCGGGCCCAGCACCTGGAGGGGCAATACCCATACAATCATCCCTTCTCTCCTCATTTCCCCAGGAAAACCCATGGTCCTGGTGGGTCAGAGGATGGGGCAAAATCATCTCTACCCCTTGCTTTCACACGCCCAGTTACCTAGCTCCATTATTATATCATCCCCCTGCATCCATACCATTTCTCCCACCCTTGAGAGTTGAAGCCAGAGCCAAAAGCAACAACCCCCCCCCCCCCCCCCCCCCATCCAGCCTCTGATTTCCTTCCTCAGCTCGGCCAGGAACAAGGTGGTGGATGCGGACAAGGGTCACCTTGATGGTGATGAAGTCCTCCAGAGTAATGTCCTTTTCTACCAGGAGCTTCTCTCCTTTGGTGACAAGGCACATGGCAGCCAACAGGATCTTCTTGTCCTCTGTCAGGTCTTCCTTATATTGAGAGTAAGATATTGTGATTGGGATCTTTTTCTCTGGAAGGGAAAGCAGAGGTGGGAGTTGGGAATCCAATGTTCTTTTTCAACGGGACCCAGAAAGAGGAAGGGAATGTTCCATTCACAGTTACACTCTTTCTGGTCCTTGCAACCAACCGGAGGAAGGCATTATCATTACCAGTTTGCAGATGAAGAAACCTAAGGCTCAGAGAGGGTAATTTCTTGTCCAATGTCACTTGGCAAGTGAATCAAGGAGCTAAGATGAGGTGGAATTCAAATTCAGGCCAGTCAGCTACCATGACATCAGATTGTCTCTCTAAGAGTTCCTGGAAATGTCTTTAAACTTTCCCTAGTCATTCCAGATGGAAATCTCTCAGTTCATTAACCATTTATCCCATCAGGAATTCACGCACTATCTATTGAGCACTTGCTATGTGCTAGTGCAGAGAAGAGGGAGACCAAAGACCTGTCTCAAGCTTCCAATTGAGGGAGGAGGCCAATTTCCTCACAGTTCTCTCTCGTTCCTCCCCACTAAGGCCCAGTCCTAACCAGCCCCCCCAGTAATGAAAAACCTTCACTGCTACCCCCACGCAGTGAGCTTGTGCCCTCTGCCTTCTAAGCTCCTCTGGTCCAGGCTATCTCTGTCTCTCACCAGCCACAAACACACTATGTATTCTTTTCTTGTGAGTATAGGTTACCACAGGCCATATCTGACTGTCAGTCATATTTGGGCTATTTTTTGACATACATATATAATTATTACTTAGGTGTACCATGTCCTTCCCAGTTCGTTCCAGACCCTATCATCCTCTACTGCTCTACTGCCACTGCTTTCCTTATTTCTGTTTCCTTCCTGCCCCTGAGTTTTAAACCTGTGGAAAAGATCCATAAAGGCTTGAACTTGGCTCACACTCTCTGTTCCCCGAGAACTTTGATAAGGAGCATTTACAAAATACCTACAGCTGACAACATACTTTATGGTGAGAAACTCAAAGCTTTCCCACTCAGATCAGGAACAAGGCAAGGATGTCCCCTCTCATCACTCCTTTTTAACATTGTACTGAATGTCCCAGCTAAGACAATAAGACAAGAAAAGGAAATAAAAAGCATACAGATTAGGAAGGAAGAAAGAAAACTCTTTGTTCTCAGATGACATGATCATCTAGGTACAAGATTTGAAAGAACAACAACAACAACAAAATCCTGGAACTAGTAAGTGATTACAGCAAGGCCACAGGATATATGATCAATATATAATCACTTTCCTATAAACTGGCAATGAAGTGAGATTTGAAATTAAAAACACAGTACCATTTACACTAGCATCCCCAAAATGAAATACTTGGGCATTAATCTGACAAAATATGTACAAGATCTATATAAGGAAAGAACAAAACTCTGATGAAACAAGTCAAAAAAAATAAATAAATGGAGAGATATTCTATGTTCATGGATAGGAAGACCCAATATTATCGAGATGTCAGTTCTTCCCAACTTGATCTATATTTAAGGCAATCCTATCAAAATCCCAGTAAGTTATTTCCTGGACATTGAAAAACTGATTCTAAAGTTTATGTGGAGAGGCAAAAGATCCAGAACAGTCAGCATAATATTGAAGGAAAATAAGATCAAAGGACCAGCACTACCTGATTTCAAGATTCACTAAAAACTACAGTAATCGAAACAGTATGGTATTGGCAAAGAGCAGACAAATACATCAATGGAACAGAATAGATAGTCCAGAAATAGAGCCACATAAATATAGTCACAAAGGAAATAAATGAAGAAATTATAGTTTTTAAAAAACATAATGCTGAAATAACTGGACATTCAAATACAAATAAACAAACAAACATAAATAAATGTAGACACAGATTTATAGCCGTTACAAAAATGAGCTCTAAATAAATCATAAGCTTAAGTGTGTGTGTGTGTGTGTGTGCATCAATGTCAAAAGAGAAAAGCACACAATCTTGTAAAATGTCTACCAACATCAGACCTTTTGCCAAACAGCATCCAAATTTTTTTAAAAAGATAAATCAAGTTCATATTTCAGAAGAAGTGAATGAGGACCTCTTTATTTCCAATGCAATAGAAATGCAAAGAAGAGGAAATCAATGCAAGCCAGTAGGTCTTGGATCAGCACATTTTAAAACAAAATGTACCTTTGTATCTAAAAATCTGAGAGCCATGAATATTTAACAGAGAGAGAAAAGAATGATTTTGCCAGCTTGTAAAGTAAGTCCCAAGGAAGCATAAATTCTGCTGCTTTCTATTAGCTTCTCTACTCAGTAAACAATATGAGTCATTCAGGGAAAGGAAAGGAGGGAGGTAAGGAGTGGGGGAGGCTGAGAGGGGACTTCTGAGCTTTGGGAAGAGGTAGACTCAGGAATAGTAGTGAAGAGAAGAGAATGATGGCGTTTAATACCAGCCAGTGGTCATGAACTCTCAGGCTAGGAATGGAGCAGCTGGAGATAGTATGCCTGCAACTCTGGGCATGTGCCCTTGATCAGAATCGAACCCAGGACCCTTCAATCCGCAGGTGGATGCTCTATCCACTTAGCCAAACCGGCCAGGGTAGTGTTTGTATTTTTAAATAGCAATAAGCTGATAACTACCCCAAAGAGGGGAAAAGATAAAATACATCACCATGTATTTTGCAGATTACACATCTACTAAAATGATGTTAATGAAAGGCTTATAAAAATTTAAATTACAGTGTAAAGTGTAAAGAGCAGGGCACCAATGAGTATTTGCAATATAATTAAAATGATGTTTTTCAAAAAGCAAACAAGCATTCAAAATTTGCAAGGAAAATATGTTCATTGGTAGGTGGGTGGCAGGATCATGGGTGATCTTTCTCTTGCGTGCTCTCAGTCATTAATGACTGTGTATTACTTTCAATATGAAAAAAATTGCTAAAAGCCAGGAGAAAGTATATGTTAATTAATATTTCATTATAAAGTGTGATTTAGATTTTGTGAAAATTAAATGACACCTCCTTCATATGTTTTCACGCCTTGTCAAGATACACAAGTTTCACTCACCAGAAACTGGCCCAGAGCAACAGTTTCTTTGTTTAATTGAATCCTTAGAGTTCAGAAGGTATGTGAAGAGATAGATAGACAAAGACAGAAAGAGGGAGAGAAAGACAGAGAGGTAGGGAGGGAAAGAGAGTAGGAAAAAGAATAATCAAATGGGATACATTTAGTAAATCATAGATGAAGTGCTAGGTGTAAAAAATCCTTGAAATACATATATTTAAAAGCAGTTAAAGTACCTTAAAATTGTGCAAAAAAATTCAAAAGGATGACGTTTGGGTTCAAAATATCAAGGGTGCTTTTCAGGCAAATGTACCGTTAGGCACGTTAAGCATAGCCGGTGTGGGCTGACCGCACCCACCTCTCCAAGGCCTGCAGTCAGGCTGCAGGGCCAGCTGTGCGATGTGCCTGGCTTTTGCTGTGGGCTCTTAGTCAGACTGGTGTGAGTCCTGCCTCTACACATACTGGTGTGTGACCTTGGACTGGCGAGTTCACCTTTCTGGGTGTGAGTTGAATTATCAGGACAGGGCCTGACATGTGTAAGCACTTAATAAACGTCTCTTACTCACCTACCCGTCTCATGCAGGGCACCTGGAGAAGGCGACACAAGCGTATTCCACAGGGTATGACATGCTCCCAGCATGTAAATGTTCATACTAATTTGATAAATAGAGACTATAAATCCTCTCACCATTAGGCCAGTTTGCCACCAGATGATTGTGACTTTTATCACTATTCTCATTAGTTAGCCCCTCCGAGCCTCAGTTTTCTCATCTGGAAAGTGCAGACTAGAGGCAAGGCCCCGAGCAAATGCTAGGAATACCCTCTTCTTTCCTGGGAATGAACGTAGGATTATGGGAAGTCAAGCCTCGCCCCTACCCTCCTGGAAAGGGGTTGGGCTGGCCCGGTCCCACCCGGCAGGGCGAGCGGTCTTACCTTCTTCGGGCCCCAGCCGCACCGCCTGGGACTCCCGCAGGATCTCGGCCACGGGCCTGCGGGTGTAGAGGATGGTGGCACAGCTCACGTTGACTCGGACCCGCTGGGCCCGCGAGGTGAGGTTGGTCAGGCTCAGGGCCAGCTTTAGGTCGTGGCCCAGCATGGGCGGCTCCAGCACCTTGAACTTGCCCGCGATGCTGGGCTTGGTGGCGGGCTCC